ACGAGAAAGAAGAGAGAGAGAGAGAGAGAGAAAGATGAGTATCATGAAAACGGAAGGTAATTTGAAGGAGGAATGAACACATAGGTATTTTTTGGGAGGTAAAATAACTTCATCAAATTCAAAAAGAAACAAAATTAGATGGGAAAAGTGAAGCCAAAAGTAGACATAAAGAGATACTTACCTTTTCGAGATCTACTTTTTCATTTTCAATTTTCAACGGACCTCTATGTTCGAATTGGTTTGCAGTCAAAAATATTTTCTCTACAATAAGTTTTTTGTTGATGTCACATTTAATTTTGGTTAGCTCAACTGTGAGGATATGAAGAGTACTGGGATACGGGAGATGCGGGATGAAACGATAGCTTGGTAGGAATAATGTGATACAATCTTTGCAATTTGCTTCTCTATTTAAATGAATAATTGGCAAAGAATCAAATGAAAAATACCGCTCTTTGCTCGCATACACATCTTTCCTTTCTCCTTTAATTGTTCAGCTTAGAACAAATTTTAATAATGTTTAGATTTACTTGGAATAAGCCATATTTATATTCAAAGATTTAGGCAAGAATTTGCATACTTCCATGCTACCATTTCAAATTAACTCTTCATTTCCTTCTTGTCTCATTCAATTTCATCTTTTCAACCAAACTTTCTTGAAAAACTTGCATAGCTGACCGTGCTGGTAATCAGCTGCGCGTGAAGAACTTTCTTTTGTTTAAATTTAAACACTTACGACTTACCGGAGTATTAGCTCACACAGTCTAGCGTTGTGCATCCCATATCACGCAAATTACTTTTGTTTATGCAATATTTTTTATTGGTTTAATTTGCATTCTGTACAGGTAAACTTAAGTTGACCATTCACATTTGTTACACTAACATGAATACAAACAGTATCTTACTAATATGCATCTCTTCTCGTGTGGTCTCGAATTCAATAATCTTTAAACGAAGAGATTACCGAAGTGCCAAGTTTTGTCAGTTGAAATTATTGATCTCAATACTTTCCATATACATTTGTCATCATCAATACATGATGTATGCCGAGGTATTTTTAAGGATTATTTGATATGTACAAAGATGATGAAAATCGGGGTGGTACTGGTGCGCCAATGAGACGGATGATTCGCAGACCGAGGATATTGGCTCGACGAGTTGTTCGGAAAAAGTCGCCGAACATTCCAAGTAGTATTGAAACCGCGGTATTTTCCAAATACAGACATATCATTATGATCAATTTAACAAATTCTAAATTGCTAAGCAGGACAGAATTAAGAAATGCTGTAAAAATTTTTTCCAGGATCCAAAGCAATGTTCGATAGAGAAGGAAGAATATAGCGATGATAAAATGGATGAAGCTTCTCGCGCTGAAGCCATATTTGGTTGTGCTGGTAAACTTGAGATTTATTACTTTATGTCATGTAAACTTTTCCGAATGCTTATAATGTTCTTTACAAAAATGAATTCCTCAGTACACAAAGTTTATCATGAATCGTGACGTACTGAATTGAAACGGAGGTTTAGAACTCCCAATTTCCATCGTTTTTCGATCGGTAATTGTCACTTTACAGAAACAGTTAGGAAATTTTTCCGAAATTCTTTCTAACAGATATAATTTTAGCTCTTGGTGAAATAATTCGAAAAAATCAGCCGTTTCCTATCACTGAGCATGTTCCGGTCTTCGATGACAGTCAACTCTGTATGCGTTTTGGTAATGAGGAAGATGTATCAGACCGCGTTCGCATGATTGGTGTCACTCTTGCCGAACATGCTTTAAAAGCTTTGAGAACCGTTTCAGAAAATGAATCACGTTTTCAAGTGAATACTTATAGTTATTTCGCCGCAAAATCAATTGTTGGATAAATATGTACGACTAGGTTCTTTTTCGCAAGACATGAAAATTCAAAAGAGCTTCCAGCTGCAATACATCATTTAGCCTAATCAGTAAATAGACTGGGTAAAGGATTTGGCGGCTGACTTTATGAGTCCCCATTTGAAGGTTCAGGCGAGGTCATGTCCAACGTGTTATCCTATCCCGCACTAGGACTGACGTTGTTGTGATTAATCAAATAGCTCTGATGATTAGTTTTTATTTTTATCTTTTCCTCCCTTCATTTTCGACTTCCCTATTTCTGTCTTTTTCAGTTTACGTTTCCCAAAGAGGCTGCAAAAGTCAACTTAAATTCAGCGGATGACTCAGCTAGTGTATCTCAAATATTAAGTGGTTCTCATCCAGTAGAACAGGACAAGTGACCAACTTATTATTATTGTTTTCTCATTTCCGTCCCATCTGAACTTCTCTGTCTTCATTTCCATTTTTTAAATTTTGGGAGGTTTTTTCTAGCGAGTAACTTGCAGTCCATCTGCCTCATCTTCCCGGAGTCCCATCATTCTTCGGATCACGAGAACGAAGTCCGGTAGTCGGGAAGTTTCCACAGGTGATCACACTGTTCGTCAGCATGTGAAACGAAAGGTGAGTCAATGAAGGGTTCTTCGATTCTGAGGTAATGTTATAAATTCTGTTCTCATCCACCCAGTCAAACATGCAGGTTATTTGTTTTGCACAAGGTTCAGTTTATGTACGGTTGACAGTTTAGTAGAACTAAAGTAGCAGATGACATATGCAAATAAACTTCAAGCAAATTGATAAGGCTCTGTCACATATCAGATATCGACGATCAGAATATCGACGATCAGACAGTTTAATTATCACTGTCTAAGCAATTGTAGGACATGATTTGGTTAATGACCTTGCAAAAAGTTATTTAACCCAGTAGATAGTACTGGAAGGAGTTATGCTTTCTGCATTGAATTTTCGGATATAAGGGAGATTTGCAATTTAATAATTTCTGTTACGTGGAACTTTTTTTTATTAGTCGAATTATTACTGTTTAAATTTTGAGGAATATCCTAAAAACCAGGGAAAAGCGGGTGCTGTAACGCGTAAGAAAATGGCAAAAGAATATGATTCCCCGACCACATCAGTTGAGTGTGGAAGTTCTATTAAGCGAAGAAAAAGCGATGCTGATGTTGTTGAACATCTTACTCGCGAGGAGAAAGCTCTTGTCGACCAGGTACATTTTCCCTTAGAATTTTACTTGTTCCGCTAGTGCGAGTTGATACTAGTTGCAAATTTAAAGCAAAGTCAGACGTCAAAACTTTAGAACTGATTAGTTGGGGATATTAGCTTGATATATTCGTCGTTGATCACTTTATGGAAATTGATATTACCTAATAATTACTGACCTATTTATTTTAAGGTGTTACTACTTTGTAGACAATTCATCAGGTCAATAAATTATGCTGATGCGAGCTGGTATAGTAAACTTAAAAAGGCTGTAAGTATTTTGCTCAGTTAGCTTTTATTTTCCTCATAATTCGGTTAAGAATTTGTAGAAATAGTATAGGCTAAACTTTCTCGACGCATGACAAAATTACTCTAAGAGCTTTAGCTAAAACGCTGATTCATCTCGATTGGTGAATTTCATGCATCTGAACGACCAACTGCTTAGCTGATAACAAATTAGGCGGAGGATTTAATTGTTATTAAAGATATCCGTACTGCGCAGTGTCCTATATCTACTTGCCACCATTGATTCATCGAATGGTTTTTTCGGATAATGATCTTTGCGTTTTCTGTTTTGTCTTACCAATTTACTTCCACTTTAAATTTAACAGGTGCAACAAAACAGATTTCAAGTGATTTATTCAGACAATTTGGATTTTAGGTCTATTTGCGACTGCAGCAGCTGGTGGAGAATATGAAGAATACAATGTCAAGACGTAGAGAATTACGCGAACGTAATGAGGAACTTCGCAAATTGCATCAGCATCTCATTGATCGGAATCGGATCAGTGAGCCTCAATATGCATATGAAGAGGTCTTTAACTTTTTTAGATTTTCGAGGACTTTTTATGGAGTATGAAATTTATGATAACTGTTTAAAAAAATTTTTTTTTCAGGTTCTGCCAGATCCTAGCACTGAAAATTTGGATCCTCAACAATCAGAATAGTTTTAGTTTTGTTCAATCAGAATATCATGTATTTTACTTACGTAAGTCTGGTTTCAGTTATGAATAGATTCTAAGGTACAGCTGACAAAATAACTGCATATATCTTAATTCTTGTGATCCATGTTATCTTTTGGAAGAAACAAAATGGTACTCTTTAACCGTGATTTTTTTGAAGTATTTTAAATTACATCTCCGTAAAAGAGTGAAAAGAGGTTATAAATGTTTCCGTTATGTGAAGTTTGTCCTTTTATACAGCGTCTTGTTACTAGAATCTTTTTAGGGCGTAAGTAAATTTGTCTTAAATAAAATATTTTTCAAAACAATTCATTTGGAACAAGTTTAAAAACAGGGAATGAACAATACAGTTCCAGAGTTCTGTTGATGAGACTATGATCTGAAAGATCAGACAGTAAGAATGATAGGGAAGAAACGATGCTTTTACCCTCTTCAATAAAAAGGAAATAATAGAAGCTTTTATTTTCTTTTAGAATTCATATCCCTCATCTTTTCCTGAAGAAAACGTACATATAGATACTTCATTAACGTTGCAGTGCTAGATTTAACATTTATGCATTTCTCATTTCTTTTTGGGTTAACTATTTCCTTACATAGTTTTCCTTGTGAATTATTTTAGCTATTATTTATACCTCTACAGTCTACCAAATCTTATGTGGCATATCCTTGTTAACACTCATATTTTTCGCCGATTCGTTCCGTCGATTGTCGTTCATTCAGTGGTGATAATGAGAACCTGAAATGTTTGATGACAAATTTGATTTTCTCTTTATGTTAACTTTTTGACAAGATACTACTTTACTGTTTTATACTTCTGACCAGTACCGTTCAATACTGTTCAGACTTCCCAACAAAGTTGCAAATGCATTCCATTAAATTTCAAAATTCTTGTTACTATGAGTTTATCATAGGTTAGAGAATTAGAAAATTTCTTCAGTTTAGAACAAATCCTGAAACGTTCTCGTTATGGTTTGTTTTGAATGGAATTTCAGCATAGAATATTTGGAATTTTTAGTTCTTAGATTGTCACAGGGAATCATTGACGTGGTTTACTTGGATTTTTCTTCAAGTTTTCCCTCACTTGTTTTCGATACTTTCCATCGCACATATCTTCTGTAGAACTTGTTCATATTTTTATCGGCAACAAATAATTATGAATTTCATTATCATAAAGACTATGAACTCCACAAATTTGTCAATCAATTATTTCATCATAATACAGCATGTCCAAACAATAATGACATGACATCAGTTATGACATAACATCACCTGATGTCACAACAAGGATATTGGAAAACAAAGTATGAAAGGTAATCAACAAAATCCAAAAGTTAGAAAGTTAGATGAGTTAGATGTTCTCATTGAAGATACGACAGTGGAGAAGTTTGTAGCTTTTGAATTGCAAAGCGAAGCAAAATACCAAAAAAATTGCAAAACGTAAAGCAAACGAACTCTCGTCAAGTTAAGGACAGCAAATTCCCGCAAATTATTTTTTTATCTGAAAGATAACTTTCAATTCCTATCTGAAGCAAGCGAACTGTAGCTGTATTAAGTTCATGAACTTCATTTCCCTGCACTTTCTTCGAAAAGTTTGGACATTGCGGCAGCTTGCTTGGGACTGTTCGAATAATCAGGTTTTAACCTTTTCTCCATTTGCTCACCATATGGATTGAAGCCAAGTCGTTCCATTTCGGCCTGCAGTGACCAAAACATTTTCAGAACAGTAGAAATGCAACAAAAACATATTATAAGCATAAGTTATTATCTTGCAATATTGTGAAAGATAGCTAATAACATTTGAAGAAAACAGTGCAAACCTTCATCGCCACTTTCATAGCTTTCTTATCTTTTTCAGCTTCTGTTCGTGGTGGGTGAAGTTTGGTAAAAACACCAGTCCCAATTGTAACTGGATCCTTACGAATTGTAAACCTTTGCTGCGGTTCGATAAACTGCACTGCATTCATATGCAGCTCAACTCTAAAACATAAACAGTCCCGAAATTTCTATTTTTAAATTGTCACAAATAAATAGTGTCATCCAGCAAAAGGAAAATATCAAGCGTGGAATGGGATTTAAAGAACATACTCTCCGACTTCTCCAGGCATAATGAAGTCTTTGCCCTTGACTTTGACTATTGCTCCACAATCCCATGTTAATGAAAACAGATGCTCCGTGAAATAGTTTGCAATTGGTGTCTTCGCACCTCCTTCTTCTGGTTTTAGTATGTACAGCTGAAATAACAGAAATAGACAAAATTATGTTACGTAATATAAATAACAAACAAGCTTCCAGGTAGAGCTTTTTAAGAAATTTAAGACCAAAAGACAAGGGAAAATGGTTTCTATCGACTTTGTTGAGCATTGCTTTACATCAATTCTGACCAAAATTTTTTGCCGAGGGATGATTTATACATTAGTGAAATTGAAAGTTTGGGAAGGGTTTTTAAGCCATAAAATATTTTGATACAATGTACATCAATTTCAGTTAAAAAGTAGTAAAAAATTGAAATCGTAATAAACTCATAACCTGAGCTTCTACTTTATCAGTAGGAACATGTTTATGTCCCTGCGGCAGAAGTACATTGCCACGTCGTACCGCTTTGCTTTCTACACCCCTTAATAAAATTCCAAGCTGATCACCGGCTTCCGCCACGTCGACCGATTTCCTGAATGTTTCCAAACCTGAAAATCCGACACAAGTTCAAAACAATATGAGTCTGAATTTCCATAAAAACGACGTTAAAAAAAGTTAAGATGAGGAACCAAAATTACTTACTAGAAACTACCGATTTGATAGGTTCTTTTCCTGCACCAACTATTTCCACTTTGTCGCCTTTTTTCAATGAACCCCTTTCCAGTTTGCCGGTTATAACAGTACCACGGCCTAAATTTCTATTTAAAATAAACTCATTAGTTATTTCACTGGTAAAGCAATGCGAAAACTGAAGGCTACAGGTGAATTTAACTCATATGGAAATTCACCAAAATTGGATTACAGAATATGAAGAATAACAAACTGAACTGAGGAAAATGTGCGAATCGTATTTTTACAGTGCAAGAAAAATGTTTTTTTTTTTTTTACTAGACACATTCTATCATTTGACGCAGTGTATCACCAACCGAAAAAAGAAACTATTACCTTTGATTGCATAAACGTGTTCGGCCGGGAACATAACTTCTGTATTCAGATGACGTTCTGGAATAACGAATGAATTATCAAGAACATCTAAAAGTTTCCATATAGACTCTTCTCCTATTTCTGGATTCTTTCCTTCTAAAGCACAAAGCGCTGAACCAAAAACAACCTGAAATTACTAGTATATTAACATGAGTTGATAAAAAGCCATTATAATCATTTCGTCATTAAGTCCAAAAAACTATATTTTTCATAGAGATTTACAATAGCAACGGTTAAATTTATTTCAGGGTTAACAGAAGATATTAAATATCATCCCTGCACATAACTACATAGTGTCGCAATGAAAATCACTAATAAAAACATCACGATTATAAAGAAAGAAAATAACCGGTGATTCAGATGGGTAACTAAGTTCCGATAAGAGTTCACGCATCTCTATTTCAACTAATTCATGTGTTTCTTTGTCCGGCACTTCGTCTATTTTATTTAGATATACGACAATATTTTTAAGAGGAATACCAACTTGTCGAGCTAGCAGTAAATGCTCCCGAGTCTGCAAAAAATCATTTAACTTACAGAAGATTTTCCTTTTGCACTGTATACAATACAGTGCAAAAACACTGTATACAATACAATACACTGCATACAATACAGATATTGAGTGTCGCGCCACTTTTATGAAGTGAAAAAAATATTTCCTAGAAACTAACTACAAGAACTAAAAGTTACCTGTGGCATAGCCCCCTCAGTGGCAGCCACCACCAAAATGGCGCCTTCCATCTGCGCTGTACCTGTAATCATATTTTTGATATAATCTGCATGACCTGGACAATCGATGTGAGCGTAATGCCGTTTCTCCGTCTCGTATTCCAAATGGAATGCATTAATAGTTATGCCTATAATCAAAATTACATTCAAATAAATATATCTTTACACGTTGTACAAATAAATATATTTTGCACCTTCTATAATTTTGCGCTTTAGTTACGGAAGCAGAAATTTGTTTCTGTCTCTTTGAAGTGTTAACTGCAATCAGAAGATACGATCCTAGAAGGAAATGTA